ATCTGGTAAATTGACAATCTTGACTTTTCCGCGACTAAAGTGATAATTTCAATAACTTAAACTACTGGACAAACTAATTAAATCATACAAATAAAAGTGATAATCAAATATAGTGTATTGATCCAAATCTGACTATACTATTGTTACACTTGGATTGTGATATATGTAATGGTGTGCTGATACTGTATAGTTAACATATTGATAAATCACACTCCTTAATCGCTGTGTTTAATTGTCTAAAACTTTTGGGCGTGTCTGCATAATTTTGCGGCATCTCCTCTTCAAATTAATTGAAGTCTGGTTGATTGCTGCTGTACGACGCGCTTTAATTGTAACTAATTATTTGTTAGATAACACAATTGATTTCCAGACTTCAATTAATTTGAAGAGGAGATGCCGCAAAATTATGCAGACACGCCCAAAAGTTTTAGACAATTAAACACAGCGATTAAGGAGTGTGATTTGTCAATATGTTAACTATACAGTATCAGCACACCATTACATATATCACAATCCAAGTGTAACTATTGCATGGGTTCTCTATGTTATGACAATAACCCTAGTGGAGCCTTTGCAAATCTTTAATTACCTTGCTATATTATTGCCTGAAGTTAACATCTTACATTGACACTCAATTATACAACTCCAATATGGAGTCAACTGAAGAACTTATGGTGCGTCTAAATAAAGCCCGCCTCACACCCACCATGCTTTTGGGTTGTGCGATGGGCTCTGTTGTTAAGTTACGCAATAATAATTTGATACGTGACTACTCTGAAATCCTTGCAGATCTGAATAATATTAAAGCATGCGTTAAAATTATATATAATCAGGGCTATAAAATGTTCTGCGCTCGTTCGTATCTCCTAGGTAAGGTGTGTAAATACGAATTGCTTATTAAAGATCTCAATTCTGACAGCATTGTGAGGATAAATTCTCCACCTAATATAGATGAAGTTGAACTTAGTTCGCGCAGGATAAATAATACCTCGTCTGGTTCAAGTGAAACAATTCCACTTAATCAGCTTATGGTTGATTCTATGGCGTCACAACTCGAGGATTTAACAAGGATGGTTGAATTGGACAAGGCAGAGGACAACCTTATCAACATGAGACATTCGATTAGCGATAAGAAAGCCGAGCTTGAGAGGATTAACGAAGAATTTCGCGCTATCTCTTGCTCGATGACTGACGATATTGCTAAAAACACTCTGAACGGATCTTCTTTATACCAACTCGGCGAGTCCATGGATTGCGATTACGGAGGAAGGACACCCTCTGAAAAACCAAATTATTATACAAACATGGCACACAATCAGGAACACGAATTAAACTTACTGTCGCAGGAGGTGATCGGAGCTTCCAGCGACCGGCATGGTGGAGTTGTTGTCCCCGGCTCTGCCTTGTCGTCATCAAACGAGGGGCTGGCCTGCTCGTTGCCGTTGGGCAAGCAGGTTAATATGGCTACCGCGGTCTTAAATGAACCTGAGGTTGAGGCAGGTTATGAACGGATGGACGTAGTGGTGGCAAATACTGACCCACCAGGTGATCAGCAATCACATGTTGATCCAGTATATGATCCTTTTAAGACTGTCAGAGAGGGATCTAATACTCCTTCAGTTGAATTTGTCAAAGATGTGTTACCATCCGATCATGCATCTAAAAGAAAAGCCGACGAATCGCCTGAAAATGATGCTGTTGCTTCGGTCAGTAGGAGCCGTAAGCATAGAATAATAGTCAGCTCAGATGAACAGAACGAACAGGATGCTGCTGTTGAATAGGAAGAAGATGTTGAGCCTACTATTGATTCGAGTCAGGATGATGCCGGATCCTCCTCACCGAATGAAAGAAGAGTCCTGCGCAAAACAAAAAACACCGGGAGAAGACGGCGTAGCAAAAGGCTTGCTGCTGTTGATGACAGAGATGTGCTGCCTGAATCGAGTCTTGTTATCATCTCAGATGATGATGACACGAATGCGGCTGCATCGGATTTGTCGATCAGCCAAAAAGCTAGCGGTTCTAAAAAGAAAATACCTCAAAATAAGAAAAAAAGCACTTTGGTTCCCAGTTTGGGATTGGACAAAAACAAGACCACCAATCCGGATCTGGATATTTTGTGCGACTCGGACGTCACTGCTAGAATTAGCATTGAGGAACTGGTCGCTATGAACAATGGCGAAATTGCTTCGTATGGCCTGTCACTGATTAATCAAACAGAAATCCTGCGAGGCAAAAGTAAAAATGTCTCTGGTCCGTTTAGTGGTCGTTGGAAGCGGTATCTGGAGCAATTGGGAGATGTTGTCCACGCCTATAGCGAAAAGGTCCAGGCTCAGGGTGACATCAACCACCTGCTACGAGTTAATCAGGAGTTTCAGGCTGAGATCAAAGAGATCTGTAAGCGTAGTGAGGACACTGAAATTGAGCTCAAAAGTGTCAAAAATACAATGGCAGCGCTACAAGAGAAGTTACGGACGCTTAGAGAGGAACGGAACAATGTGCCTACATTCAGCAGGGTATCTAAGGTTCCCCTTCGTGGGTCGCGGCCTTGCCGTGGCGAAGGGGCTCACCCTTTGCAAGAGGATAGTCTTGCAAGGGGTGCTAACAGCGACCAGTACCTTACGAGGTACACTGCCCCCGGCCTGAAGGGCACGCCCTCCGCTTATGGGGGCTCTCTTCGGGCGGTGGAAAAATTCCACCCCCCGGAGAGACGGGACCCACTTCCCCGTTAGAGCTTCGGCTCGTATGTGGTAAGGGATGGCGACCCGGAGTTCAAACGCCCGGTGGCATGGCACCGTTAGGAGAAGGGACTGCACGGCGCCTCGGCGCTTCCCTTCCCACCATGCTCTGTGGCCTGACAAGCCTGTCAGGTAGACGGCTTCTGCCGTCCGGGGTTTTCTCCCCCCTCCGTCCTGGGGGGGCTTGTTTCGTGGTTACCTCTGGGGGGTTGGGGGGTGGGCGTCGGCGGAGGGTGCCGCGCGCGACTACCCGAGGGGCTCTGCCCGGAGGGTTTCCCGAGGGGCTTTGCCCGGAGGGGGTCGCGCCGGCGGAGGGGTCAACATGGTCACCCGAGGGGCTTTGCCCGGAGGGTTGTCCCAAGGGGCTTCGCCCGGAGGGGCCATGTTGATCGGTCCTCGGGACCCGTTCGTGGAACGGCTCCCGAAGACAGGGAGGTGCCTCGGGGTCCTGGTTGGGGGTCTCCATGCTGGGTAGCCTGGGTCCCCGTCCCAGCGTCCCTGGGGTAGGCCGCACCCAGGCCGCTCGGACGTTTCCGAATCCGAGCCGAGGATGGCGGCGAAGGCGCGCCGCGGTTACCCAAGTGGGCATAACCCAAGGGATTACCCAAGGGGCATAGCCCGGAGGGTGCCGCGGCCGCCCTGCCCCAGGGCCGCTCGGACGTTTCCGAGGCGGGGCCTGGGGCGATAGTAGATATCCCCGGTCGGTCGGAACCGTTACCCTTTCCGAACCAACCGATCGGGGAGGCGCTTGCCCCTCCTCGAAAGTCTTCGAGGAGGGGCGCCCACATATGCTGGTCGCCACGGCGTGTAGGGCAGGGCCGGGGAGCGGCAACCCTGTCCAAAGCGTCCGTGAGGCCCCCGGGTGGCGCCGCCCGCTGCGGTACCCGCGTTGTCGGAGGCGCGGGACCCCTGAAAGCCCGTGTGGGCGTCAAATCCCACACGGGTGTGTAAGGGGCTCGGAGTCTGGCCGGGGTGCGGTATTCCCCCGGTCTAAGACATATGTCCCCTCCCCGGGGGAACTTGGGGCCCGGCCTTGGGGTGTGGCCGGTCATGTTTCGGGGCACCCCTTGGCCGGTGGGGGTATACCCTGGGGGACGGAGCCGCAGCGGGAAAGTGGGATTCAATAAGATGAATCAACAAAGCGAACACAATAACCAAAATCAAATGCACGTGGGAAACAGGGACCCACTTATTCCCTGCAAAAATAACAAGCTGGAAATCTCTCCTGCCAAAGAAGATATGAGCCAAATGAAGCTCAAGGAGGTAGTCATTCCCCTACAACGGGTAGACTCAGACACAAGCTTGTCAAGTGGCACGTGGATAGTGTCCGCTGACAACAGGAAGAGGAAGGCAACTAAAAAGCCTACAACTAGAAGGAGGGCGAAGAGATCAAAATCCCGAAACAATTCAACATCGGGAGATAATGACCAAACAAACACCCTCGTAGACAACCTCACAGACAATCTCAGCGATTATAGCTACGACAGTCTGGAGGAAGAAAGGAAGGACATCCCAGCGTTTAGGAAGCTGACAAAGGAGCTGGATGCAGAGATATCACTTAAAATAGAAGAAGCACAACCTTCAACCAGTGGTATCCCTGGAATCCCAGATATCCCCGAAAAGAGAGGACAAGGACGCCCGGAAACCACAGGAGGTTATAGAATCCTGAAGGAAAGAAAGGCAAGAGAAGAAGAGGAAAGAGCAGGACAACGCGAGGAGGACATTATGAACTCTCGCGTTATACCAGATACCCACCCTAAATCCTATAAGGACTATTTAGAAAGGGTTAAGACTAAGACGGAGGAATACGAACACACCCACATAGCAGATCTTGAAGCAATGATCTCAGAAAAGACCATGGGGATATACAAAGTGGCAGTGGGTTCAGGGAATTTAAAAGGCACGCTGATCAAGCACGCGAAAGAATCAGCAGCGGATCTGTGTGCGGCAGCGACTGTACTTGCGCTTAAGGCGCAAAACCCTGAAGCGCAAACGATAGAGGGACAGCTGCACGAACTAAGGCAGCAAATACGAGTTCTAAGAGTGGAAAACGAACAACTCAAAAGAACCGTAAAACAATTAAAAACGCCGAAGAGGTAAACCACATCCTTGCAGAATAATGTAAGCGAGGACGAGGAAACGGACGGAAAGAAAAAACCGACCAGGGGAAACCAACAGACAGCCAGGTTACCCCAAAAAAGAAGGACGAGGAAATGGACCGCAGAAAACCCACTTCCACTCGGGTGTGGGGAAGTCTCGGGGGCCATGCATGAGATGGCCCCGGAAACTCCACTTCCACAAGGGAGTGGGGGATTCTCACCGATCCAAGGAAGAAGAGAGGAAGATATGGACGTAGTGGAGGAAACACACACATTCATACTTAAGAAGGAGGACTTCCCACCTCTTGGTCTTAATAAAAGTAAAAATAGGAAAAAGTGGGAAACACCAGGGGAACTGGACCTGCCAAAGAGGAGCAAAATACCTGTTGCTCTTGGCTTTAGCCCCAAACCAGTGGAGGACGAAGAAAGCGATGAAAAAAGAAGGCAGGACAGATTCATCGCTATGATAGAGGGAATCGTAGTCAGAGAAATGGACAAACGCCTGGGTTGTCCAATTCCTACATATGGCGAAACACGAAAAGCCAACAAAGAGGAAACGCTTGCGCAAGCAAAACAACAACAGCAGCCAAAAGGGCCAGTTAAAGCTAGGCAAGCAGAACCAGTAGAGGAGAAAAAGAAGCCAATGGTAAAAAAGGTGGAGGTCATAAGGAAAGCAGTTAAGATACTGCCAGCAACGACGCTGAACCCGCCCGCTCGACCAGCAACAGTGAGAGCCCCAGGACAGACCCTAATAAGAATGGGAAACACCCCCCCAGCTACAAGGGAAAGGAAGGCCAAACCAAAAGCAGCAAACAAGGCGGAGTCACGGGAAGGAACACTGCAAACCAAAACGGCAGACACAGAAAAAGGAGAAACGTGGGCTGTGGTAGCCTCAAAAAAAACAAAGAGGAAGGAAAAGGCAGAAGCCAAAGAGACGCCCAAAAAAGCCGCAACAAATGCAGGCAGGAAAGAGCCTAAGACGGCAGCGGTAACACTGACGTGCCCCACGGGTAAATATGAAGAAATAACCCAAAAGGCGCGTCAGAAAATCGATATACGAAGTATGGGAATCGAGGGCTTCAAAATAAAAAGGGCCATAACGGGGGCCATAAAATACGAAATCTCCGGCAAAGATGGCAAAAAGCTGGCAGACGCTTTTGCCCTCGAACTCAGAAAATCGGTAGGAGGAAAAGAGGGAGTCAAAGTCGAACGTCCCACAAAAAGTGCGGAAATACGGATTAGGGGATTAGACGACGCCACGACCCCCCAAGAAATAAGGAGGGTCATCTCAGAAATAGGTGAATGCGAGGAAGAAGGAGTCAAGGTCGGGGACATCAAGAGAACCCCAAGCGGAATTGGCATGGTATGGGCCCGATGTCCGCTAACGGCGGCCAATAAAATAGTGACCGCAACCCAAGTCAGAATCGGATGGGCAATTGTAAGGGTCGAAATGTTAGCAAATAGACCCTTACAATGCTATAAATGCTTAGAAGGGGGACACGTACGGCAGCGATGCCCAAATAAAGAGGACCGCAGTGATAGATGTTATCGATGTGGTGAAAGCGGGCACGAAGCCAAAAAGTGCGAGGCGGTTTTCAAATGTCCGGTATGCAGCGATAAAGGCCTCCCGTCGAACCACAGAACGGGTGGGAGATCCTGCTTACCGATACAAAAAGGAAGAAGAGGGATACAGCTCAGTAAAATAATAGGAACTCAGGACAGGAAGGAAAAAAGGGACAAGGAAGCCTCACTTCCACTTAAAAGTGGGGAGGCCTCCACGTCCCAAAGAGGAAAGAAAGGAAACGAAAGTAAAGGAACTTCGCTTCCACTCAAGAGTGGGGAAGTCCCAATACTTCCATACAAGGAAAGAGAAAAAGTGGACATGCAAAAAGGGGGAAAAGGAGAAGAAGAACCTCCTAAGGAGCAGAGGGTATTAAGGACAAGAAAGCAGGAGGAAAAATTACCAGAAGGAGTGGGTAAGAGAAGACGAATTAGGAAGGAAATGCCGGAAAGAGAGGATTCAACATCCGGCATGGAAACAGAGAAGGAGAACGCGGAGGGTGACGTTGCCAACTCAAAATGGTTAACGTAATTCAAACTAATCTGAATCACGCGAAGGATGCGCAGGCCCTACTCCAACAAACGTTAGCGGAGAGAGACTGCGGCCTTGGAATTGTGGCTGAGCCATACAATGTACCAAGCAATCCAAACTGAGTCAAGAGCTTGGATGGCACAGCTGCAATAATAAGAAGGCACATGGCGACGTCACCACCGCAGTTGGAGAAAGCGGGAAGAGGCTTTGTCGTGGCTTCCTGGGGGTCCACCATAATAATCAGCGTATACCTTTCACCCAACCTTGGATATAAGGAATATGTGAAGAGGTTGCACATACTGGAACGGCAAACACAGAGACATCATCCTCGTCCGGTCATTGTGGCGGGGGATTTCAACGCCAAACACAAGGCTTGGGGTTCCCCGCGCACGGACCGGCGGGGGGAAAGGGTCATGAGGTGGGCGGCGGACAGCGGCCTCATACTGATAAATGAGGGAAGAGAACAGACGTGTGTCAGGATGCGGGGCGGATCCATAATAGATCTTACATGGACAACCCGCCCCGCAACGAGAATGACAAGAGGATGGAAAGTGATGACAGAAGTGGAAACCCTAAGCGACCACAAATACATCACTTTCAATGTCACCGCTATCCCAAGAGAAGTCGTTGAACGCCGCAAACTTCAGGAGAGCCGTACCAAAAGGTGGACCCTCAGGAAGATAAACGAGGAGGACTTCATGACGACCATCAACAACGAATTGATGGCCAGGGAAAACAAAGACAGGAGCTTGGCAGAGCAGGTGGAATGGCTACAGGAGACAATGACAAAGGCGTCAGACGCGTCAATGCCAAGAGTCAAGCACCGGTCTTCTAGGAAGGCATACTGGTGGTCGGAGGCCATCGCGGAGTTACGGAAAGCCTCCGACCACGCCAGGAGACAAGCACTTCGTATGAGGAAGCCTGCGCTAATCAGAACGCCCGAGTACAAAGAAAAGTGGAGTGTCTATAGAGAAGCGAGAGACACTCTACGAATTGCTATAAGGAGGGCCAAGTCCGAGGCGTGGCAAGAGTTACTTGCCACGCTAAACGACGACCCATGGGGGCGCCCCTACAGGATGGTATTAAACAAGCTTAAAGGGGGGGCGTCCCCACTAACGGAAACGTTGGACCCTCGCCTGGTCGGCGAGATAATAGACACCCTGTTCCCGGTACGGGAATTAGACGAGGAGCCCATCCCACGAGTTGAGCGGGAGTGGGACGAAGATGAGACGAGGGTCACAGCGGGCGAGCTGAAAATGCCATCCGGAAAATAAAAAAGGACAAAGCCCCAGGACCGGATGGCATTCACGGCAGGACATGGGCAATGGCACATACGGACTTGGCTGACCTTATGGCACAGATGTACTCGGGCTGTCTGATGGAAGGAATATTCCCCCAGGAATAGAAGGAAGCACACGTTGTGCTCCTTCCCAAAGAGGGCAGACCACCAACGTTACTATCAGCGTACAGGCCGATCTGTCTACTGGACGAGGCGGGGAAAATCCTTGAGAGGATAATTGCAGACCGCCTCGTTCATCATTTGTCCCGGGAGGGTCCCGATCTACACCAAGATCAATACGGCTTCCGCGCCGGGCGTTCAACGGTGGATGCTATACTTTGGGTGCGCTCGGTCGCGGAGGCCGCCAGGGGCAGGGCGGGGTGTTACTGGCTGTGTCATTGGACATATCCAATGCCTTTAACACCCTGCCCTGGCGCCAGGTGAGGGAGGTCTTACGGTACCATAGGGTACCTACCTACCTGGTGGCCATAATGAGGGATTACTTCCGGGACAGAAGACTGACTTATGTGGACAGAGAGGCCAATAAGAAGGAAAGGAGGGTATCATGCGGGGTTCCGCAGGGTCGGTGTTGGGGCCCCTGATGTGGAACCTCGCATACGATAGTATCCTCCGATCTGCCCTCCCCCCCGACTGTAGCACGATCTGCTATGCAGACGATACGCTCGTGATGGTCGGGGGGAGTAACTGGGAGGAATGCATAGCGCGAGCCAACATAGCGGTGGCAAGAGTCACCAGGGCCATAAAGGCCCTGGGACTCAGGGTGGCGCCCCACAAAACAGAAGCAGTATTCTTCCATAACAGAAGACACGGGGCGCCACCCAGAAGTAGGATATGGGTGGAGAACGCCTCCATTGAGGTGGGGACCCACATAAAATACTTGGATCTCTACCTGGACAGCCGGTGGACCTTCGGCGAACACTTTCGTCGGTTGGTCCCGAGAGTAGAGAGGGCGGCCATGTCTCTGTGCCGCCTTCTCCCAAACCTGAGTGGACCGGACGAGGTGTGTTCGTCGTTTATACGCGGGTACGGTGCACTCCATGCTTATGTACGGTGCCCCTGTATGGGTGGAGAAGTTGTGCGCCACTCGCAAAATAAGAGACTCGGGACTAAACCGAGTCCAGAGGCGAGTGGCGGGCAGAGTTTGCAGGGGTTACCGTACGGTAAGCGGAGTCGCCGTGGGGGTCCTCTCTGGAGTGCCCCCAGCTGATCTGTTGGCTCGCATGTACGCCGAAGTGTACCGGCGTATATGCGGGCTGAGGGCGGCGGGAGAGGTCGTCACGGACCGTACCCGCGAGATATTGAGGGTCCACTATAAACGAGTCCTCATCGAAAGATGGAAGGGCAGACTCCAAGATACGAGTCTGCCTGGAAGGAGGACCGTTGAGGCTGTCCTGCCCTGCCTGGACGAATGGTTAGGCAGGGCACATGGAGGCGTTACGTACAGAACGACCCAGGTGCTCACCGGACACGGCTGTTTCGGTGAGTACCTGGGCCGAATAAGGAAGGAGAAAACAAATGCCACCACTGCAGTCATCCAAGGGATGACGCTCAGCACACCCTTGCGGACTGTCCCGCATGGGTGGGCGAAAGGGCCGACCTGGTGGCTGCAGTGGGGCGGGACCTAAACCTGAGAATGGTAGTGTCGGCGATAGTGGGGTCCAAGGACAGGTGGAAGGCGTTCTCCTCCTTTTGTGAAACGGTGCTTTTACAGAAGGAGGAGGCGGAGAGGGAGAGGGAGAGGGCCGGGAGAAACAACTCCCGGTCCTCGGAGAATGAAGTGGAGGAGTCGGAAGATGGAGGCGGACCTTCTCCTTCCCCGGCATCGGCGGGCCTGCCCGTTTGTGGTGCCGGGGATCGGGGGGGCGCACCCCCGGCGGAGGAGGGAAGGAAGGAGATACGGAGGGGGGAGGTGTGCCCCCTTTCCCTCCCCCGCTGCCGACGGGCGTGCCCGTCGGCGGTGGTGGGGGTCGGGGGGGGGGTACAACCTCCAAAGAAGAAAAGTGGAAGCGGAGGGCGGGGCTGGGCTTTCCCTTTCCGCGCCGTCGACGAGCTTGCTCGTTTGTGGCGGTGCGGATCGGGGGGGGTCCACCCCCAACAACATACCTGCGTCGAACTTCGACGCAGGATGAGATTCCCGGGGGGGGGCCGGGGACAATTAGGTCCCTAATGCCCCCCCTGGAGCCTCACGAGAGCCGGGCGTGCGGGCGTGACCCCCACTCTGGGGGGGGCTCCCGCGCGTCCGGCAGGATAAACCTCCTCGGCTGCGGCCGACTTCCAACTCCCAAGGGAGCGGAGGGATTCGCAGCCGGGGGGCCGAGGGGGGGCCACGTGTCCCCGCCGGGCAGGCTCCGCCTGTCCGGTCGGGGCGCCTGGATCCCCCTCTGTGAGGACGTGACGTGTGGGGTCCTCTCACCGGGAGCCACGAGGCACCGGTGGGAGGGCAACGCCGTCCACGGAGGGGGTTTCTCTCCTTCAGAGAGGGACCCCCGGGCGAGGGCTTCCAGGGTAAATGCCAAATTCCCACTCCCTTCGGGAGGGGGAGGGAGCACCACTCTGGAGGCGGGGGGTAGCGGCTCGAGCGGGACACTCAAGCCGTGACCCCGCCCCCCAAACTCTTTGGGAGGGCGCGACGTGGGGTTGATACCGCCCTGCGTCGCAACCGCGAGGACTCCGCACGATGTAATTCGCGGAAGGCGACACTCTCCCAAGGAGGGATAAGGCGGGGGGGGGCGGCGAGACGGCATGGGATCCCAGCATCCTCGCCGTCCCCCACAAACGCCCGAGAAGGTATCCGCAGTGGGTTTAGTGAGGTATGTTTGAGCCCCTTGACCGATCTATTCGTGGATCGGCCAAGGGGAGCAAGAAGTCCCACATAACCATCCGCTCTCTTCCCGGAGAGCGGTGGTATCCATGAGGATTCCCACTGCGTAAAAAAAAAAAAAAAAAAAAAAGGTATCTAAGGTTAGAGCTCAAATTGCTGATCAAGAAGATACTGACTCTTCCGTTGCTAAGTCTCTTACAGTTGATACCCGTAAAGAGTTGGGTAACTTGAGTCGTGCTGTGGACTGGGCTTCAGAATCGGCTGGGTCGGCGTGGAGTCCACCTCCGTCTGCAAACTTGGAGGAAACATCATACATTGCTTCAAGGGTGTTTCGTAATACAAGTTCTGATAAAACACTGGACAATAAAGCTTTTCGTCCACCTCTGAAAAGCCCACGTACTAAGGGCATCAGAATTGTGGAGAACAAACAGGTTGCTCCCCCTAGAACGACGTACAGTAAGCCGGCCTCACCAAGGATGGCGCCCGCTGCAAAAGGTGATAGGGACTTTCCTTCGCTCCCTATACCCTCTACCTCACGTAGGGGCTCCAGGAGTTCCCGTGATGATGTCGCTGGTAATCGGCGTGATGTTGGTAGTTCTAGACCAGTAATAAAACCCAGGGTTGGCAGGCGTAAAGTGGCAGTTGTCACGATCACTAGCAAGGCTGGCACTGAGTCCTCCTATGCTGACATTCTTCGTGTTGCTCGGCAGAGTGTCTCCCTTGATAATCTTGGCATCAAAGAGACTAGGATTCGTCCGGCCTTCATTGGCGGCTACAAGATCGAAGTGCCTGGAGAGAGAGGTATGGAACTCGCCGGCCGGCTTAAGGATCAACTAGAAGTCATCCTGCAAGATGTAGCCAAGGTTGATAATCCGATTGCTCGGGGTGAGCTCAAAATAGTAGGTTTGGCCCCCTCCACCTTCAAAGAAGAGATTGGAGAGCAGTTGGCTCAAATTAGCCATTTTTCTCAACGTCTTTTAATATTAGTGACATAAAGGAAATGCGTGATGGTATGGGGATTGCTTGGGTGCAATGCCCCCTCAATGCGGCAATTTCGATTGCCGAAGTTGGTCACCTATATATTGGCTGGACGTCGGCGAGAGTTGAGCTGCTCAAAAAACGTCCAGTCCAATGCTTTAAATGTTGGCGGTTCGGACATGTTAGGACGAATTGTTCGACTCCTCAAGACAGGTTTGGCTCTTGCTTCAAATGCGGAAACAGTGAGCACAAGGCCAAAGACTGCACTGCTCCTTCACATTGCGTAATATGCTCCAACCTGGGCAAAAATAGTAACCATCGTATCGGTTCTTATCCTTGTTTGGTTAACAATGGCTATGACACCGTTAAACGCGTAGAGCAGAGACAACCGGAACGATCTTATAGATATGGCAACTAAGATCTTGCAGTGCAATTTGAACAGGTCGTGGCAGGCCCTTGATCTACTACGTCAGCAATCGATTGAGCTCGGCGTTGATTTGGCTGTTATTTCCGAGCCTCCTTGTGGAAGTAGTACCCCGGCAGACTGTTACTATAGTAGGGACAATTCAGCGGCTATTATGTTACTCAACAATAATGTTAGAAACAGACTTTATAAGAACCTAGATAATATTATAACCATGGAATACGCTGATTTCTATTTAGTATCCTGTTATATCTCACCGAACAGCTCAAGGGTTGCTTTTGAAGCTTTTATAGATGTTTTGGATGATCTGATTAAGCAACTCCGTTATAAAAAGGTCCTTGTTTGCGGGGATTTTAACGCTAAGTCTCACTTATGGAGATCAAAGGATACAGATAGACGTGGCACGCTGATTGGTCTCATGGCGGCTTCTAATGATTTGTCGCTTTTAAATGTTGGTAACTCCCCAACCTGTATTCGTCCACAAGGTACATCTATCGTCGATCTCACGTGGGCGTCATACGGCATAATGGATGACATAAGTGATTGGCAGGTCATGAAGGATATAGAGACCTTATCTGACCATGCCTATATCAGTTTTACTTACCTGTGTCATGTTAACATTCAGCGTACACCCGACCGATCATCAGTCAACGGATGGAACTTTAAAAAGATGGATAAACCATTATTCATAGAGTGCATTGAATGGTATTGCAACTTAAATTCCATACCTGTCTTGGAAGACGAATCTGCTGAATCCCTCGTGGACTGGATAAACCAGACAATTTCCGATGCGTGTTGTGTGTCTGCGCCTAGATTGAGTAAATTTAGTAAGAAGAGCTGCTATTGGTGGACTGAAGAGATCGGCAACCTCAGGAAGAAAACCATCGGCGATAGGCGCGTTCTTACTCGTGCTAGGAGGAAGCAGGATGATGCTCTTATTAGAAGTGCTATGGACGATTATAGGATGTCAAGGAGGGATTTGCGCATGGCCATCAAGAAATCCAAGAACTCGGCTTGGCAAGAACTGATTGGTACCTTAAACGAGGATCCATGGGGGTTGCCATATAAAATGGTCCTGAATCGTCTGCGTAGGTCCGGCAGCAACTTGGCTACATCCATCTCAGGTGAGGAACTGTCTGACTTACTTGCTAGGTTATTTCCATCTAACAGATTTAGGGCTAGCCACCCCATTTCAAGTGTCGCATGGAACGAAGAATGGGATATAACACCCGGCGAAGTCCATAGCCTATTAAAAAAGAGGTTGGCTCGTAACGTTGCTCCGGGCCAGATGGCATTAAGTCCTCGGCTTTGAAAATCGTGCCATGGTCGATGATCCGTGTTATAGCTGCGTGCTATACTAGATGCTTGCGAATGGGCGTTTTTCCAGATAAGTGGAAAACAGTTAACCTGGTTCTTATTCCTAAGGGTGCCATAGCTCCAAATGCACCAGTCAAGGCAAGACCCATTTGTCTCTTGGATGAATTAGGGAAGACTTTCGAACGAGTCATCGTCGACAGGATCCAGTTCTGGTTGAAGGAAAACCCAGTCTACGACCTATCTTCCCAGCAATATGGGTTTAGAAGGAATAGATCCACGGTTGATGCTTTAATGGATCTTAGGCAGTATACAACCTCTGCGCTTGAGAAGGGCAAGAAGGCTATAGCGGTTAGCCTGGACATTAAGAATGCGTTCAACTCTGTCCCTTGGGGAGTTATTGCAAATGCCTTGCGCGAACGTAATATCCCGGTTTATCTACGTAACATTATCAGCGGTTACTTACGTAATAGGTACGTTATTTATCAAGATGGAAATGGTGGCCTGCATAAAAGAGAAGTGGACTCTGGTGTGCCGCAAGGTTCTGTTCTGGGACCTCTGCTCTGGAATCTAGCCTTCGATAATGTCCTTCGCTTACAACTAGATCTGCTATGCAGATGACACATTGATTGTCTCTGCTGCTGAAACCATTCCTAGAGCAGTGCTTAAGGCTGATATTCAGTTGGCTAGAGTCCTCCGCTACATTCGCCTTATCCAACTTGACGTAGCTGAAGAAAAAACTGAGGCAATACTTTCTGTTATAGAGAGCCACGTGACAGACCTTTTATCACGTGTGGCAACTCAGAATAAAGGTAGAATCTGTCATGAATACCTTGGTGTTATGATAGACAGTAAATGGTCATTTTTTGATCATTTCCGCTACATTGAGGAAAAGGCTTCAAAACCCAAAGATCATTAGCGAGATTGATGCCAAACCTTAGAGTACCTATAACTAGGAAAAG